TAACGGTTCCAACTGTATATATATATATATATTTGTAACAATTAGGGGGCTAATAGAAATGAGTGGGGCTTAGGCTTGGGCCTATTAGGCCTTGCGTCAAACCAGGCACAACAACACACTTTATAGAGAGACATGGCATACCTCTTTTTGTTTTTCCTTTTTGGCAAACATTTCAAGTTCATTTCCAAATATTTCTTGAGAATTGAGAACTTCTTGGTAATCCATCTCTTTAACAAAACTACTATCTTCAATTCCATTAGCTTTTAAGAACTCCATATAAGCTACCTGGAAAGCTTGTCCTATAGACTGAGCAATAAATTGAGCCTGCAAGAAGAGAAAAAAAATAGTAGTTTGAAAAGTTGGCAAACCCATGCAGAATTATAGTACACACACTCACAATTAAATGCAAAAACAACTAATATCAATACTAGACTAACTGTTATAAAATAAGCTAAAAATGCCAAACTATCGTTTGTTCCTTTAATCAGTAGCACTACATATTGCAATAATCTTTGCAGAATTTAAAGAAATATATTCAAATTACATACTTTGAACTTCACACATTGTTGACCAGTGACAAGTTAACTTGTCATTGCACTTACATTTTCTATTTTAATTTATGTAACCCAGAATGTTCCTAAGTATAATTTCACTTCATTAAGTATAAATAAAATTTATTGGAGCTTATTTGAATGTTTTAGTTAACTTCTATATTCAACTTGTTATTCTTTATTCTATATCAAAAATAATAGGCAGCTTGAAAGCATCAATAAACTGCAATATATTTAATTGTATGAAGATTGAAAAAATTACTTTAAATTAACTTACTAAACAAGTATGCCAAGAAAACTTACAAATAGTTCATAAATTACGAAATTTATTTTAAAATTTTTATTACTAATAGATAAAGGAAATTACTAGAACATTAATAGATATAAACCAAACATTATATTCTTATACATTTATTTTACATTTATTCAAGAAAATTTCGAAATTTAATATACTTAAGTTTTCCATAAAAAAGCAAATAATGAATATGCATAAATTTTGAATTAATTAAAGTAATTAAGCCTATGACAATTTAATTTGTAATTTCTTGGCATTCAATCTGATATTTTTCTAGCAAAGCAAACTGATTTCTCTGTGTAAGGAAAAATTCAATATAAAGTTTGCTAAGATGTGTTATAGTCAAGGAATAAAATATTTTATAATTTTTTTAAATCTCTTTTTGTTATACATCATTGCAATTGAAATTAATTTTTCACCATGCCTTCTTTATGATCAGATAAATGTCATTAGCAATATGCGGAACTTTTTTTTCAGTATTTTGTAAATCTGGGGAAAATAAACCATTATTATACAAAAATATTTAAGTAAGTTTTAGACTCTTTCTAAAATCTTTAATGAGAGTTACAAATAAATAAACAAAAAAAACATGATTACAATTTCATAAATTGTTCAAAGTAAAGTTGTCTTTTAGCATAGAAAGAAGAAAAATATTAAGTTTAAGGATACTATTCTAAGAGACCTAAAACTCAGAGCAATTTAAAAACAATTTTTTTTTAATAAATCAATAGATATTTTAAAAAAAAAACACTTCCCTTGGGGACTCTTTTTTAAATCATTTCTATAACAAGTAGTCTTAGATATCCATGTGTTTTATAACAAGGAACACATTTTACCATATTTGTTTAATTACCAATGTAATTTTGAAAAAAAGATACTAAAGTATATCACTCAAAATGTAAAGGCAACATTTCAAAATATTACTAAGATACTTAAAAAGAAAGAAAAAAAGATACTAAGGTATATCCCTTAAAATTTAAAAGCCACATTTCAAAATATTCAAAAAAATGAATAAACTGATAACCTTACCTCTTCAGATTCAAAAACATGACAAATCATTTTGGGTGTGCGTTTAATTTTAGGTTCACTAGGATCATCTGGACTGTTCATAACTCTTCTCCTTGCCATTAAAACAACCAGATCACCTATGTCAGCTATGTAGGAAATGGCTCTCAGAGCATGATCCATCATGATTTCCTAAGAAATAACATTTTTTTCTTAAGGAAAGGAACATGTTTCCATCAACACAATAACAAAAAGAAATAATAAGAGCATGGACATAAATAAGGTTTTAAAATTTTCAACCTTTATAATGACTACTTTAGAGCTTCTGCTAAACAATGCAGAGTCCTGGACTAAACATTTAACAAAGCTTTTTTAATATTCTCCTTCTGCAAAGTGGATCACACTAGATGTTTGCCTTAATTATAATTAATTCAACAGCAAAAAGTTTTTCAGAGTGCATAGCTAAATCTTTCAACAAAAAATAAACGCCTTCAAAGTACTTTTTAAGCCCTCAAAAAATATTTTTAAGCACTATATACATTAACAAAATGCAAAATAATTTTCAAAGACTTCATATGATCATGATCTAGTTTCTAGTAACTTGTTTCTGACAAAGGACTCTTTTCTTGATTATATTAGCCACCATAAAAAGATTGGGAGATTTTTCGGTTTGATTTCAGATGGTGGAAAATGAAGCGTGAAATTGAGAATATCTTGCAAAATGCATCAGAGTTGCACATGAGAGTGTAAGAATCTAACTGAACCCAGCTCAGTGGACGCAAGTATTTCATCAAACATGTAAGATGATTTTATAAACGTCGTTGAACAACCAACCAAGTTTTGAGATTACAACTTACTAATGTTCAACTCTGTAGCCTTGTAATTTTGAACCAATCCAGAAGACAAGGAAACTCCTGGATTAGTACCCCAGAAGTATGATTTGCTATGGGAACATGGAGGACTTTGTGACTCAGAAGATTTAACGTGTATCAGTCACCATTTACTACACGGGGAGTCTTTGGTCAGGAGGGGGCGACGAAGCGCACTGAAATTAGAAAATAATAATCTTGATTTTTTTAGCATTAATTTATAAATGTAGATAATTAAAATGTTTCTTTCTAATCAAGATAATTAAGATAATCAGAAGTAGGTTTATTCCCAATAACTTCCCATAATCAAGTTCTGCTGCTAATAGTACTGATTATTAAAAGTAGGATTATTTCCAGTTACTTCTCAAGATCACGTTTTTTTTTCTGATTGATTATCAAGAGTAGCTACTACACTCTCAATTGTTTCTCATGGTTGAGATACTACTCTACTATTGATTGTTAAAGTAGCTTTGTTCTTAATCACTGCTTATAATCCAGGTTTGAGCTATTGATTATAAGGTAGAGTCTAGCTCTCAATATACCTAGGCCAAATTTAACGGTTCCAACTGGCAGACTAAATATAACTAATGGTGATCAAAAATACCTGCCAGATCATCAATTTCGTAGACAGAAATGTACAACCTATGCATTTTATTATTATTTTAAGAAAATAAAAATACAGAAAGATAAATAAATAATTTACTTTACTTCATGCTTGTTTTTTAAAATTTTTCCACATTTTCTGAAATGGGCCAAATAATGTTTTACGAGAAATGATTTTAAAGTAATGCCTTCCACAAGAGGTTCCCAATCAGGTGGCGACAAGGCTCTTCAGGTGGGTGATGAGGGGAGGGGGCGGGGCATTGAGTATTCAATAGAAAAAAATGCATTGCAATTAATAATAATAAAAAAAATCCAGGGAATCGATCCTCACCTGAAGCCCATCAACATATTTAGTAGAAAGAAGATTTAGTTCAGCTGTCAAGCTTCTCAAAAAACAAAGAAGTAGGTTGGACCTGATAGTCAAGCTTTTAACTGAAATCCACCAAGTACTACAAGGTAATCATTGAAGAGGTAAAAATGAACAATTGAGTATTCAAATTGTAAGTTTTTTTTCTCACATTTTAGTTGTTAACGTTTTCAATTTTTCCCGATTACATCAAAAAAAATTTATTAAAAAACATGTACTTTTGCTTCAATTAATTAGCGCCAAATATCTCTTTTTGACAAAAAATTTAAGGTACACACATTTTTTTTCTTCTAAATTTTCTAAAATGATTGAATAAAATTGCTTCATTATTTACATTTTAATTTAAATTAAAAATCAGGTATAATTTAACAGATATTCAAATTTATTGATGCTCACTTGCAACAATGTATGGGTTTTTTTTTTTCAATAAAAAAGGGGGCGATAATTGTCAGCCAACTTTTAGAGGGGGTGGTCGGAACAGTTGGGAGCCACTGCCTCACACCATTGATATCAATAGTTTTTTTAATTGTCTAAAATTTTCGATTTTTGAAAAAAATGATCAAATATTTTAAAAAGATGCTATGGTTAAGTTACATGTGGTCAAAAGCTCCTGATTTTGTTTTATAGTAACCAATTACTTCTACAAATAGTTTTACTGTACTATTGATTATCAGATGAAATGTAAGCTTGCACCCAGATTACTTTACAGAATCAAGGTTCTCATTATCAGGAGTAGTGTTCGCTCTCAATTGCTTCATATAATCAATATTCTACATTATTAATTAAGTTATTTAAAGTGAATAAGTTTTTTATAACCCAGAGATTTCTTTTATTGGTAAAAAAAATTCAGGAAAGAGTGGAATTTGGGAAAAGAAAATCTTACCTTTAAATCTGTATTCAGAACCATGATTTTTTCTGTTGATATAAAAAGATCAACTTCTGTACTAGGTTGTGTTTCACCTTCGGGAGCCTAAAAAAAAAGAAAAAATAACACATTTCTTAACTGACAACTAAGATGAGTTCGTAGAAACCATGGAATTTTACAAAATAGAAACATTTCTGCAAAAAAAAANAAAAAAAAAAAAAAAAAAAAAAAAAAAAAAAAAAAAAAAAAATCGAGCAAAAGAAAAAGAAAAAAAGAAAAAAGTTTTTACAATTTTATTGTACTGGTAGTGTTTCTAATAGACACTTTTTCTTAGCATGCTACAAATATATGAAAAAATTATTTCATATATAAAGTAGAATAAAAAGAGTTTGATACAGACTTATTTGATTAGATAATATTTACAGGAAGAAAAAAAATCAAACTAGTGCAAATTAAGAATTTACTATGCATGCATGGATGACAGATCATTCAGTAAAAAGAAGAGACAACGTTAATAAGGATAAATTAAATTATTTATTATTGATTCAATAAGCAGAGGGAACAAAAAAAAATTGAAATTTTAATTTCATATTCAACCATTTGCTTATGGCTGGCACAACAATTGGACCAGAGTGAGAGACTTTACCATGCTAAGCGTCGTAAACAAAGGGTTAACAATTAAAAAATATGTGCTAAATGAAATAATAACATGCATTTACGGATAAGAATATTGTTGTAATCTTTATAATGCAATTATTATAGGATTTCAGTGATGAAAAATACATTAATTGGCAGTGGTACAGCAGAATATTTTAAAAAAAAAATCTGATATGAGTTTTTTTAGGAATGGCTATTTAGTATTACCAATTAAATATAATTTATATCAGCAGTTCCCAACTTTTTTGGCTACAAAACCCTAAATAATCAACCTTCCTTCGACGGAAAGTTTAAGGTAATTACAAACGTTATAACCTTACACTCCGAATTGGAGCATAGGGCTTCTATCATAGCTTTCCATCTCACACACTCTATTTGTGGCCAGATATTTTGCATCACTCCATGTTTTTCCTATTGTTTTCAATTCGTTTACAATCGTCCCACACCATGTATTTTTAGGTCCTCCTCTTTTTCTATTGCCCTGAGGGTTCCAACCAAAAACTTGTTTTATTTTAAATTTTTCAGGTTTACGTAGAACATGACCAATCTGTTTCCGTTTTTTAATTTTCTGATCAATCGGTTTTTGTTTTGTTTTTCTAAGAATTACTGCATCACAAATATTATGGAATCACTTGATACGCAATATTCTTCCTAATCAGCTGTTTGCAGTGCCAAGTCACAGATCCATATAGTAGGACAGGTTTAAAATTAGTAATGAAAATTCTATTTTTTTTCCTTTTGAATTTGTTATGTTTTTGTTTATCCAGAATTTATTGAGAACAGCTATAACCTTATAAGAGACTTATTTAAAACATTTGATTATAGGAATAATGATTTTTCATCGTTTTATCATTAATAACCTAAGATTATGTTTTGTGTCTGTCAGTTATATTTGCAGCCCTTGTGCTACATCTAGTCTAGATATGAATTTATTTCTGGTGTAAGCTGATTAAAATGAGCCAAATTATGGTTTACTCGGAAATGGAAACCTAAAACAACTGCTATAAGCGTTGAAAATAGTTATTATGGAAACATATTTCTTTATTAAAGAATTTAGTTATTTTGATTTAAAAATAGTGAGAGAAAATATTAATGGAATATTTTATAAATGCTTAATTTTTTTTTCATAATTTGTTCAATATATTGTTATAAGAAATATTATATTTTCCTTTAAAAAATGTCCTTTCTATTTCATTAGAATTTCACTTGAAATAATTTCATAAAGGCAAAAGTAAGATTAAATAAATTGTGAATTATAGGTTAGATCTAAATATGATCAGAGGTTTCAAAACTTATTACTGGTTATAAAAAGTATTAATTCTCAGAATTCCTTTCACTCTTACACGGAGCTCTGGGGTTCCGCCGAACCCCATTTGGGAACCGCTGACTTATATAGTATTACTTTGAAAATCTCAGGGTTTGGAAGGACTAAATTTCAAGAAATTCAGGCTATCATTTCAGAGAATAATAAAAAGTAACAAAATTAAACTTTAAACTGAAATAAGAACTTAATAACAATTAACAAAATACAGCCTTACTCATGCATTCTGCTATAATGGAAAAAAATAAGTTAAAATAATATGAAGTTGCAGAATGATAGCTGCTTTGCGATAAACATAATAATAAGAATATTATATAAGCTTCCCTTTATTATTCAACACAAACAAATACCATACCGATAAAAATGTCTGTTAAAAACATTATGCAAGCATGTTTTTTAATTACAATTCTATTGCAAAAAGAATTTTTTTCTCCAAAAAGAAATGAAAGCAACATTTAGAAGAAGCATACAAATATGAAAAGGCGATCCAAAAAAAGTACAAAAACCAATAAAAATAAACCAGATTCAAGACAAAGCAAAATAAAGCAAGTCTTCATGTTCTGAAACGTAAGAGGAATATTTTTCAAAGCAATTTGGCATGCTTTTTTGGGAATAAGATTCGAAATAAATGAAACTGTGCTGGATTCCCTATTTTCTTTTTTAAATAAACATAAACTACATTTGCAGGACAGAGGGCGGAGAATCATCTACTCACGGCATGGGGACAGAGGGATATTTTCATCTGTTCTACTCTATCATCCTCATTGGGAGAGGTATAGGGTTCAGTTCCGGTAAAGGGTTCATCATGGTCTCCCTTTGATGGATTGTCATTTTTACCTGCAAGTTGCATTCTCCCTGCTGGGTTTTGCTTTAAGTATTCAAATTATTGAGAAAAACAATTACAAGGAGGTTTTTTATTACACATATAAACATACAGTGCTTATAAATTTTAGGAACTACTGTTCATCTTTCCATAGAAATTAAACACTCAGAACAACTGAACTAAATACATATATAAGTATATATATAAGTAATACTAAGTGTGGGGAGAGTAGTTATCGACAATGTCAACCTTCACCTATGAAAAGGTACACCAACATAGAATGTAGTTAATATGTCTTATATACTAGTGAATTGGAATTGTACTTTTGTAGTGGTAGACACATTACAGTACTCCCCAATCAGAATTATATGTATGATAGAATTCGATGAACGAATACCACTAGTTGATTCATTGCAGTTTTGTGAGAAGCTGAGAGAGCTGTATTAAGATTACCATACTTTTGCTGATCATGAGTGCTGTATTAAGTTCATGGTCGTGGTTGCTCCTGCGTTGTCATTAGCAGTCGGGTGTATGCAGGCTGACGTAGTGTGTGATCGAGACTGAGTAGCAACAGTGCGAGGAGGTGGATAATGTCACAAGTAGCAAGTCAATTGTTCAATGTAGACCATCCATCGAAATAGGCGTGTTCAGAACGAAGTGAAAGTTACTGTCAAGATGGGCGTGCTCACATCGAAGTGGGAGTTTCTGTCAAGGTAGGCACATTCACATCACGTTCGAAAGTCACCAATGTGGGAAAAGTTGCTATCGACAATGCCAACCTTCATTTATAAAAAGTACCCCAACATAGAATCGAGTAATGTCTTATATACTAGTGAATTGGAATTGTATTTTTGTAGTGGTAGACGCACTACACTAAGTAAGTATAATAAGCAATACTAAGTATAAGTAACAAGTACACTAAGGTTAAGTAAGTAATACATATATAAGTAAATACATATACATATATAATATACATTTTATAAATAAGAATATTTATTATCAGCAAATTGCTACATAAAATAAACATTAGCCTACCTTTTAATGCAAGAGGCAAAATTGAGTTTCTTTTATTTTTTTTATGATGACAGTTTATTGAAATTTTTTTAAAGCCACTAAAAATAACAGGAGGAAAAAAACATTTTTCTTTTATATTTAACTAATTTTAAACGTGCGAAATATAAAATTGTTTCAATTTATAATAAAATCTCTTCCGCCTTATTGGCCAAAAGTACAGCAGTCAAAAATATCTGAAAAGTTCTGTCCGTAAAATGATTCCAAAATTGAGTTAAAGTGACGGTTAGGAGGATATTATATTTTTATTTTGGTTCAAACACTATTTCAACACAATAAAAACTGAAGTCCCTCTACAAATAAATGCTTCTATGTATAATATTATTTTACCAGATCAACTGGCAAAATTTAAAGGGGGAGGAAATACAAAAAAGTAAAGTAAAATAATTATAATGATACGCAAATATTTCGATGGGAAAGAAACAACGATAAATATGTTTGTTTTTGTTTTTTTAAATATTAAGAACATTCATTACAAAGATTATTTAATTCATTACTGTGAAAAATAATTCAATATTTTAAAAGCTCCATACAGCTTAAAAATTAAAATTTTATACTAAAGCTTAAGGCTATATTTCGAAGGCTTCGTCATCATATGAAATAATGCTTTCTGGCGAATATTATGCTGTTTTTATAACTGATTTGAGTTTGCAACAGTTAATTATGACTGTTACGTTTAGCCTATTTGTAGTCAGCGTTCTCTATGCTTATTCTGAAAATGGCACAAAATGTCAATATGGAGAAAAGCCACAGGAAAAAGGAAAAGTGTTTGTGGTCTAAATTTTTATTATTCAAAACCTACTCCAATGCCACATCAACTGGGTTCACAGAAAAATGCAAAAACTGAGAATGAGGAAGTGATTTTGATAATTTTCATCTGGGGGAGGGGAGAATGTCGCCAAATTGGTAATTTTAAAAAAAGTTTATAACTTCATCAAAATTATTTGTCGATTCTAAAGCCCAGATAATTCTTCACGTTAAGATGGTATATATAGTTTAAAATTATAGCTTTGCTTCAAGTATAGGGCCTTTAAACTGTGGTTTTTTTATTTTCCTTCTTGAAAGAGCTTTGAAAAACCATGTTAATCAAAAATTATGGGAAAATAAAAGTCACTAAATCTCGATTTCAACTGTAAACATTATTTTTTATACATTAAAGTATAAATTTTAAAAAAATTAAAATTTTAAAACACTCGATTTTAATTTATTACAGTAAATTTAGTTTAAATGATATGCAAGTTATAAGTATATTCTAGTACAACTTATAACTTCTGGTTAATAACTGTCTAATCTAATCTAAAGTTCGTTCTTATTTTCCTATCCAATGCAATATTACTTCTTGCACAAATAATTTTTTTCCCATTACCTTTTCTTACTGAATATCGAAAAAATATTCCTTATTACGCAAAGTATTTTCCAAAACAATTCATACGATATTATAACCTTGAAAATTTATAAGGAATTACGGCCATGAATTTCAAAGTCTAACATAGAGTTTGTATTCTAAGGGCCATAGCCTGGATGCTGGATTTAATTTCAGAAAGATTACCTGCAACCTAAACTATTTTTATTTTTTTTAAATTTCATGAAATATAATGCTGGGAATTCCTATCTAATATAATTGTGAATTCAAAACTCACACTAGAAGTTATCATTTTCAGAGCCGCAGGGTGGACTTAAATTTCAGATTGGTACAATTTTCAACTTATGTAGTTATATACTTTCTTTTTGCCAGAAATATTATTGAAATAAAATTATGTTTCATGACAGAATCACATTTTATTTAGAAAACTACTTGAGAAATTTATGAGTTTACTACTTCTTAAATGTATTGCAATTAAACATAATATCTTTTAAATTGAATAAAAAATATTATAAATAAATATAATAAATAATATAACAATTAAATAAATAATATTATAATTAAATAAAAAATATTATACTTAAATAAATAATATTATACTTAAATAAATAATATTATAATTAAATAAATAATATTATACTTAAGTAAATAATATAATAATTAAATAAATTGAAGATGCATCATTTTAAATTCATTAAATGCGACTAAAAGCTATAATTGAAAGACTCGAAATAACCCTTAATGTATCAACACAACTTTTAAGTCAAAGTAATATTATTTCCACATAGTAATGAAACAGAACATAATATTCCATCGGGACTTGTCTCTCCCAGTAAAATGACTTTCCATTTATCATTATGAGACATTATTTGATACGACAAAAGAGTTTCGAACATTTTGGAATTTTTTTTAATACTAATTCGGTAAATAAAGGGGCAATGTAGTGAGTGATAAGCCTTACTATGGTAAGTATACAACTTATTTAAAATTCTATTTCTTGGGAATTATTCGACCGATTTCGTTTAAATTTCGTATTTCGCCTTTGAAAATTACCTTCTTTCCTTGAAATGATTTAAGAATTTGTGTACCTAACAATTCCAAATTTTTCAAGTACTATTATCAAATAAAATAATAAATAATTATTAAATTTTTTTTTTTGTATTGAATTATTTTTGGGTAATTATTTTTTTCTTTTCGATTTTGTACAAAAATCTTTCGAATTGCTTAAAAAATTCCCAAGATTCTATTCACTTGATATAGATATTCACTATAGATTATTTAAAGGTCACAAAAAGTAAAATTATTATTATCCATGGAATTATCTTTGGATACACGAATTTTACAATTATGTGCAAAATTTTTTAATTCGCTTAAAAAGTTCTCGAGAAATAGTGAAATACGCAAAAAGTAAAATTAACATTATGGGGTCCTAACTTTAGAGCGCTCACTTGATCAAACTTTTGGGATCCTACTTCCACATATCTACCCTCTGTATTTTGGTGGTCAGGAATCGGAAATCGTCGAAAAAAAGGTACGAGAAAATACGTTTTTGTGCCACATTTCGTAATTTAAAATAATATCTGTACTAGCATATTTGAGGTCACCCTTTCGAACCCATTAAGTTAAGTCCTAGTGCTTGAAAATCCGATTATTAGATAAACAGTTATTTAAAGTGATTCGCTTTTTTTAAGCACTCTACTATCACAACAAATGTTTAATAGCATGAAATAATTTACCAGCTTTTATTTTACATCTTTTAAATGAAAGAAATAAAATCATTTACGATATGTTTATGCCTAAACTCCAAAACACGTAATAGAAATTATTAAATTCAATTTTTAATAGGCTTCTTCAAAAAAATTTTATTATACACATAAAACTTTATCTATTACTTAAAGCTAAACAACACTATTGGGGTACCTCAAAATCTATACTAATTTTACTAAACAAATCAGCTGGACGTATAATCACTAAGCTTTCTAAAACTGAAAAGCAAATAATCATTCAGAGTTCATTTGAATCAAGTAATGATGAACGAAATAAAAAGGGATAATAAAGTGAATACCTACCAAGGACTAGCATATCAGCAGCAAAAAAGAGAAGAAAATAGAAGAATGAGCAATTAAACTATGATAAGCAAATAAATTATTGTACCATCTATGATTGTGATCATTTTAACAAAGGTATCACAACTTAAAAGCCGTTGTATTTAAAAGTTTTTTTGTTTATTTATTAATTTAACCTGATTAGCATGAAAAATTCACAAATCAAGATTTGCACAGCAAGGAAAAAAATTTGCTATCATATTATATAAATTGCCATCATATTATATTATTTGCTATCATATTATATATTATATAAAAAATCTAGACATAGACGATTGTCCAATTCAAATACGTTTTTCAATTTTAAACTTCTTAAATAAATCAAGAAACATTGAAGCGTTTTTTGGTTTAACAGGTTATTTTATAACGATGATAGCTCGCTACTAAAAATCTTTAAGTTCATCTTCCATTTTTAAAAAAAAATCGGGATGCATTGTTTTCCAAAGCTTTGATATTAAGGGATGAATAGTTTCAAATGTTGATATAACAAGCATAGATATTTGCGAACTTTTGAAGCTTTGAGGAAGAAAGCTAAAAAATTATGAAGTAGAAAATGTGAAACATTCTATGTTCCATTTAAAAAGAAAATTAGGAAAGAAAATTAAGAACGAAAAAAACTAAACACAAATAAAAAAAAAATTAACTCGGTTATTATAAAAATATTATGTTTGAAACTAGGTCGAAATAAAACTGTTTAAAAAATTAAATCCTCGGCTTAAACTTAGAATTTTAAAGTAAACTCATAAAAAGAACATTCTACGAAAATATCTAAAAATATCAAGTTTAACTAAAATAATAATAATAAAATAAAATAATATATAAAATAAAATAATAAAAACTATCCAATATCGAAATGAAACAATAAAACATCAAAAATAAGCATAACGTTAACTCTTTATAAGCCCGTGGGGTGTACACATCCCAGAAAATTCATTAATTTTTAAAAGTTCTTGGGAATTTATTTGCACATCTCTGATTAAATCAGGAATCTGCTTAGATAACTTTAAAATAAATAAAATTAAATTTCAAAAAATGAAGTACTCTGTTAACAAAAATACAAAATAGTAAAGATTAGCATGTTTTCATGAAAAGAAACAGACACAGGGATGCTACAGTATTTTCTCTTATGGGTTCGTTCATTTGATAACTTTTCAACTAGTTAATTAATTTTTAGTTATAAACGCTAAAATTATGAGCACAGAAGTTCGAGTTAATGGCAAATTCCTTACGATAGATGAAATTTTAAAAAAGTGGTCTCGAAAAGTCAACTGAATTTTATATAATTAGCTTAATAAATTACTTTTTATGAATCGATTTCGATTCGCTATCGAAATGGGCTACAGGTAGCGTAAAGCAGAACTCTCTACCTATGGCAACATTTCGCATGCTTTCATCATTAGCGTGTAGATAGTCATAGGAGAAAGGAGCACGTTAATTTCTGTAGCGTTCTCCAAACAAATTTAAAAAATTTATGTTAGTAAACTATATGGAATTCAAAAATGCAATAAGCACAGTTCTTAAAGCGTCTTGGAAATTTTAGATAATATTTTGGACAATTAAATGCGAAAAATATTATGGAAGGGGAAAAATCGTAGATTCATTCCCATACAACTGAGCAGTAGAGGAGAAGGAAGGGTGGAGGGTTAAGACATGGAATTGGTCTTCTGATGGCGTATTCGAGCATTGCGATCGCGAATCCCAAAAGTATTTGAACACATGCACGCACACACATACACACACATATATATATATATATATAATATATGAAGTGACCCTATGAAGGGTTAAAATACTTATCTATTATTATTAAAGCGATCATGTGACAGTGTAATTTCTGTGATTAGAATACTAAATATCAAACAATACCTTAATTCTAGAGACAGCTTCCTCAGCTTGCATCATTCTTGTTGCTTTGGTTGGCTGTCCTTCGCATACCAATTGAGTGGAACCTAAGTACCGGGCTCGAAACAGCACACCTTCAATGAGTACTGCTGGTTCATGAATTAAAACTGAAAAACACAGAGAAAAATATGGCATAAATACCTTTGAGTGGATAATATAAATTATTAATTATCTATAATTTAAATGTGAAACAAGGATTATGGCGTTTTTATATTTTTAATCTCTCCTTATTTCTTTCCTGCTAACGAATGCTTTATAAATAAGCGATTTATTGTATGCAACTTAGGCGCAAGATCCAGTACAGTACGGTACTTTTATTTATGTCTCACTAGAGCAGCACAATGGGCTGTTAACGACTGTTTGGGAAACATCTCTGAGGATGTCCCGTTTTATAGGGAGGACATATTCACACACCAGCCATCCATCCGCAAATCGTAATTTCGACCTCAGCCAAAGCAACGATTAATCAATCACCGATCTAATACCCCCAGAGGTATTTATTAGTTACGGGAACTTGGAGGACTTTGCGTCCCCGAAAGATTTAACGTGCATCAGACACCATTTTGTACAAGAGGAGTCCTGGCCGGCGAGGTTCGAATAGGCGCAAGATCCGAACATAATCATGAAAAATATGAAGTCATGAATCAAACGGTCTTTTGAACTAAGTCTAAGAGCAAAACAAAAGGAAAAAAAAGATAACATACAAAATAACAGAAAGAAAAATTACTAGGGTATATTAAAGCTATGTAACCTGCATTTAGCTGAAGAAAATAACTAAAAGAATTATATAAGTGAAAGCTTTTACGAAAAGAAAATTTCGATTTGAAGTTTCATGTACATGAAGAATTAACGCTTAAAATTTAAATTGAAAGTTTAAGCTTTCTTAATCTGTTATCGGAAAAAAGGCGCTAAAAAAACTGTCGTCTTAAAATGGTTAAATGCAAATTTTATAAGATAACGATAACGAATTACAAAAAAAAAAAAAAAAAATAACATAATTACATCTCTTACAGATAAATTAACTACACAAACGTAATAGAGAAATAAAAATGCCGCTTTGATTAAAATCTTTTTGTTTTAAACAAAATAAAAAAACGTTTTTTTTTAATTATTTTTTTAATTAATTTTTAAAAATAATGAAAATTGCTTAAGGTTTGCGTGTTTTTAAAAGTTCAATTTAAAACCTGATTCTGAGGCACAAGAAATATCAGAAATTATTTATATCACACCCTGATAATAACAACCTATATGGCACATTATGATGCCGAAATAACACATTTAAGAATTTTAAAGAAAAATAAGCTCATAAACAAGTTAACTTGCTATTCGAAACAAAAACGGATAAATTGTTTAAGCAAAATGAGACAAGTTAATGTTTCAGCATTCTTATCAGTTCAATACCCATTTAAAAAATCATGTTGCAAGCTTAAGAAGAAAAAATTACAGGAAACTAATGTAGAGTACGTTAATGGGACATACTACGCAGCAACAAAATTTCAGAGACATTCATTTAACACTAAAGCATTTCAGAGTTGCATAGGGGGGGGGGAGATCATATACACATGCAATTCGAAACAAAAACGGGTACATTAAGTAGAATAAGACAAATTTGCTTCTCAGCATTCATATCAGTTGAATATCCACCTAAAAATCTTGTTTAAAATTAGTATAAAAATTGTAAGCAGAATTAGAGAAAATTAATGTTGCGCAAGTCAATGTAACACATTGNTGCATAGGGGGGGGGGAGATCATATACACATGCAATTCGAAACAAAAACGGGTACATTAAGTAGAATAAGACAAAAATGCTTCTCAGCATTCATATCAGTTGAATATCCACCTAAAAATCTTGTTTCAAATTAGTATAAAAATTGTAAGCAGAATTAGAGAAAATTAATGTTGCGCAAGTCAATGTAACACATTGCGATGAAACAATCAGACATGTATGGGAGGAGAGGAGGAAAATAAGAGATAATAAACAAATTAAACTGGCTATTCTAAACAAAAACAGGTGAAGTGCTTTAGTGAAGTATAGCTTACTAGCTTTTCAACATTCACTTAAGATTGTTATCAAATTTAAAATTGTTTCAAATTAGAAAAATCATGCTAAAAGCCCAAACTAAACAAAAACAAAATGGAATAAAACAAACCATAACATTATAAACTTACCGTCGTGGAAAAGCATATATTTTTAAATCCATGGTATCCATAAGACAGGTAGCAAAGTATAAAGAGAAAGTAGTTATAAATAATACATTCAAATACTACAAATTGCATTGTTAAACACTAAAACTCCTATTAAACTAAGTTAAAACATTTCGTATCTAAATAATCACTTAAAGCATGACCAATACGTTGAAAACTACATGATTTTAATTAATTTATTTATTTTTTAAACTGAATGTTCACAAATATTTTTTACAAGCATTACACGCAGTTTTGCTGAGCAGAAAATAAATTGATAAATGCACTATTACAACAATTATTATGTGTTTGGTATTTTAAATAGTTCCATTTCTCAGGCAGGTATCTAATAATCATCTTTGTTACTAAATTAATTACTTAAGGCATGACCAGAACGTTGAAAACTACATGATTTTAATTAATTTATTTATTTTTTGAACTAAATGTTCACAAATATTTTTGACAAGCATTAAGCACAGTTTTGCTGCTCAATAATAATAATAAATGCATTATAACAGAAACTACTTTGTGTTTGGTATTTGAAATAGTTCCATTTTTAAGGCAAGTATCTAACATTCGTCTTTGTATCTAAATAATTACTTAAGACATGACCAGTAAGTTGAAAACTACGTGATTTTAAGTAATTATTTTATTTTTTAAACTGAATGTTCACAAATATTTTTGACAAGCATTACACGCAGTTTTACTGAGCAGAAAAGAAATTAATAAATGCACTATAACAGCAACTATTATGTGTTCGGTATCTGAAACAGTTCCATTTCTCAGGCAGCATTGTTATTACTAATATTGTTTATTAAATTTTTTTTAAAAAATGTACGAATTACTACCTGAATTCTTGAACATCCTGTATATTTTTTACGATAAGCAATTTCCTAGATTAATAGGGAAAAAGTGTTTTTCGTTGAAAGTTTTTTCATTTATTTTTGCTTAATAAAATGGTTTTTAAAGAATAGAAAAAAAATCTAATTATCTCATTTATATTTAATGCAATAATTTAGAACAACTTAAAAAATATTTTGCGTCTTGTTTCAAATGTGTTCAAGTTTAAAGCGTTTCAAGTTTTGCATAAAATATCCCCCCCACACAAAAAATCTGTTCCAAATCAATGCAATAGATTCAGATTCATTATTAAATGCAATAGATTCAGTCAATCAGCCAAATCAATGCAATAGATTCAGAACCCCTTCCATATGAGGCGACACAAGTTCGAGTCAATCATACGCCTCTACCAGTTCACACACAGTGCTGACGTAAAATAGTTTCAATGGTTATCACGGGACTGCAAGGTTAACTGCATGAGGTTTAACCATCTATATAAAACCCAAGTTAGCTTATATTAATAATTTGCAAGTTGTTAAAATTTAATAAAATCTGAAAAATTAATCAAACTCGGATTTTTTATTGATGAACTGTTTTAAATATGGTATGCACCATGAAGAATAATACCAAAATAAATACATAGGATTTCAATAAATTTAATGACAAAAAACAACAAGTCATTGCTTGTATAATCTAAGAAGTATTTGCACTCAAATATTATCATAACAAGCACGACCTAAGAGCCCAGGAAAATAAAATAATAATTTTGAAAAGTGCATCGTGAATATTTAACGAAAAAATGACTGCAACTTTCATGTGTAGTTAAAGAGTCGATAATAACCATTTCTTTTTGAATTTCGCTAAAAGCAACTGAAAAGATTTTTGAATGAAAATATATAAGTATTAAAAAACATGCTTTGAAATGGAATAAGTATTTTCATACAGACCTTCTTTTGATGTGCTCTTTTTCTTGCCTGAGGAATTCCGCGCCTGAAGAAGAAGAAAAAAAGAGATAAATACAGAATAAATATTTACAATCTTTTAGAAAATCATTTTAAAAGTATTTTGAAATTCAAACGAATAAATTATGCTTTTACCCATACATATTTTATCAGTTTAAATAAACCATAAGGGTTTTTAAAATAGAGAATGCTCACTTGGAATTCAATAGACTTTTGAAACGTAAGAATTAAGTTTTATTTTTCGACCGACGCGTTTGGTATAATACTGCTTTATTGCTCATTACAAATTTATGTTAAAGCATTATAATAAATTAATATTAATTTCTATGCCGGCCAGTTGGCCGAGCAGTCAGCGTGCCTGACAGTAAAGTCAATGGTAGTGGGTTCGATTCCCGCTTAGGGTTGTTCTCTGTTGTGTTTGATGTGGGTATCTGTGAGCAGCGTGGCGTGGTTAATATTGCTCGCATCCGTGACTTAGATTCACAGGTGCCTACCGGGTAACGTTAAAGGAGCAACACTTCAGGTTCTTCCTAGGTGAAGAACGAAAGTTCAGTACCTGCTCTAGAAAAAAAATTTAATTGCTATGTTGTTGTTACTAGTACTACTGACCAATACCAGCAATCCACGTGAAATCAAGAGAATTTTTAAGGCAGAGAGTGCTTTTCTTGTAGTTGAGTGGCGCCATCTATGGCCAAGAATACGATTTCAGCCACATACACGCCATAGCCCGTTTTACAGGGAGGACTAAATCATACTACATTCATTAATTTCACAGATCGTAATTTTGACCTAAACCAGAGATTGATTTGTTATGGGAACTTGGAGGACTTTGTGACCACTACAGATTTAACGTTCACGGCCAGTTAACATTTAATACACGGATATTCTTCGGCTGATTCTTAACACAAAAAGCTGATTTCATCGATTAACATAAAAAAACCGACTCAGTCTATTAGAGAAATACTAACATAATAAAAGCAGCGGTATTGTAATACAATCAAAACTTTTATATACAACAACAATTTCTTTTACATATATATAATCATAGGTCCATTCTACAAGAGATTCGACCTCATCTTCTTCTTCTGGGTCTCATAAACATCTTTTTCGGTATCATCCAACAAAATTGGAAACATTTCTTACAAGATTTAAGTATAATGTTCCTATCACGATTTAGATTTTCCACACATTCCGAATGATTTGGCAAATAACATCTTATATAAACAGAGCGTCTTATAGAAACATGTCTTTTATAAACAGAATTAAATTCTTTAGAATCATAACACCAAAAAACCGTTATTCAAAGCGTAAAGATTCGTAATAAGATTGCATGCTTTTATATTTTATAATAAAAAATGGAGGGGAATAATTTTTATTTATATTAATAAAAATTATCTTTCGCTTATTTTCGAATAACAAAATTTCGTAATTAGTTAGAAATTTGTAACTAAACAAACGGGAACGAGAATGGATTTGTACAACGAATGCACACAAAATCCACCATTTTAAAGTTGTGGGGGGAGGAGTGTTATCGACTGTAAAAATTCTTATTTAAGTTATGTTTAAATTTCGTATTTTTCCTTTATTATCGTTGACGATTGACCTATCTAAAAATGCAGAATTTCTTTTATAAACAGAATAATACACGTAACCAATCTCGCCAAAAAGTTAAAAATGGAGAAGCGACTTATACAACGGAAAATACGATTATACAGAGTAACAATTTCAGAAACCAACACGTTGTTTCCTTGACTAATGGTGCAAATATTTCTAAGTAACATAAAATTGAACTAGGAGGCTTCGCCCCCTGCTCGTTGGCGCTCGCCAACCCCCGAAACTGCTTTCGCAGTTCATTTCGGATTGCTTCGCAATCCGATGCTCGCTTTGCTCGCGCATTGTATGCGTTCTTAACGTCTAACTTTTGTATACTTTTTTGAACACTGAAGTTCCGAAAACTTTAACTGTAGAAAATTCTAAACCTGTGCATTTCAATATTAATTTGAAATTACAAACAATTCACATATTTTTCTTAATCACACTATTCTAAATTTCAGTTGTTGAGAAAAGTAACTTTTGTAAGTTTTGTTTTAAAGTCTTTCCCACCAGAGAGTTAAAACCATGTGTTGTAAAACAATATGAAATAGTACTGAAAGCCGGATGTAAAGCATCGGCTTCGATGAAGATTATTTTGTGAGAATTTTTTTGATAATTCGGCGAGAATTCACCCGATTAGACATATGATGCTCACTACGTGCTCTTGCGCGCCGAAGCCTATCAATTAAAACGTATTAGCGTTTTATATAATATAGATTAGCCATATGATGCTCACTACTGCTCTTGCGCGTCGAAGCCTATCAATTAAAAATGAAAACTGTTGCCTACGCGAGAAAAGAAATATCATCGGTTTTATTGATACATACGTATGTATTAGCGTTTTATATAATATAGATAGATTATTAAATGTTAAATGCATTGCTTATACGAATGCCTATATTGCTTATGCTATGCTAAGTTTTTATAAAGACTCAGCATAGATATGACTGTCAACTGTTCTAAATTTTACATAAAAAAAGATAGCAAAGCAAATGATTTAAGACTTAATTTATAGACTTAATTTAATTTAACTTAGACTTGATTTAATAAATATAACTTAAAATGAAAAATAATACTTTTCCTTGAAAAATGTACACGATGGCTTTGCCTCGTTTAAGAAGAGACTTTGATTTAGATTAACAATACAAGAAGAAATTCAAGAAAATTCGTTCAAAAGTCCTTTCTTTAACAAAAGTAGAATTTAAAGGCGAAAGAGCTAAAAACGGCTAAAATGAAATCGAACGGTGTTATATTTTAAGTCTGACGAGTTGGTAAAACATAAGAAACATGGATCAATTAAGTGCCTTTAAGTTGTGAGAAAAAGCAATCCTCTCAAAGAAAATAAAGACAGCATTACTAAACCTGATTATAAAAAATATATATATTCAATGATTTTTAAGCAGAGTTACGTTACCGTGGAAACAGTGAGCAGTACAAAATTTTTTACAGTTGCAATTAAAATTTTTGATGCACTTCAAAATTAAAAAAATTCAAAACAAAAAGGGCATCGTTTATTACAATAACAATAATGAAGTTGAAAAAAAGTGGCTCTAAAGACAAATTCAGAAAATAATGTTAATGGCATTATTCATCAAAGCATTTTATCAAGCATTTTATAGAGTATTTTTGAAACATTTCACAACTATTCCAACAACTTTTTCTCTTTCTATAAAATTATTAATTTAACGTTCAAAAATTAGAATCTGAATTCTCTCTTGGGTGTAATTTCGTCGATGGGTAAATTAAAATCGAGAACTCGAATAACTATATCAGACAGGACACAATTTGTAATAATAAACAGACAGATTTTTAACCAAAGAAGCTGTGTACTAAGTAATAGAAAAGGCGGGAAGAAACAAGCAGGAAAAAAAGCTTTAAAAAAAATCTTCACATCAAAACAAGAAATTGCAACAGAGAGTGCAATTTTACAAGTTCCAGAATGCAAGAAAGTCAGATGGGAATGTGGTAACATCTTCTGGCACGTTTGTGGAACAGTTTTGTTCGAAGAAGCGTGACTTGTAGGGGTGGAGAGTCGTGAAAGTCAAGAGGGACCATTCCAAGATCCGGAAAATCCCTCCCAAGCTGTCAGAAATGGTTTCCATGACAACAAGAACCACAAGATCTTGAGCTTTAGGGAGCAGTAAGAACTCCACGAAATATCGGTGCCAATTTGCTCGGGAGAATAACTTCCCATCAAATGGACGGGGGAGATTACTCGTTGGCGAGAAATAGTGGCGAATAACAGAAAATTTATTATCAACAAAGTAAACGTGGCTTGGGACAGAAATGCAGAAAGTTAACTCCTAAGATATGAGTTTGTAAGAGAGGAAAAGGGTTATTTGAGAACTAGAAACATATAGATGGAGTCCAATTATATGGTGAGGTATTGGAATGAAAGAAAATTGAAAAAAAAAATAGGCCTGAACATTAAATTTAAAATGCAGTTCTTGACAATCTGAGGTAATAAAATATAGAAGTATTTTTCTAATTCTCCAATGAAAAATAAGGATTTTACAGAAATACTGGCAAAGTAAAAATATTAATTAATGTATTAGTATTAAAACTTTAAGAGATTCATTAATTAAAATTTATAAAATAAAAGCTCTCACTTTGAATATGTTTAAATCGATAGGGAAAGAGTTATTTGAGAATTAGAAGCATGTACATGGAGTCCAATTAAAGAACGAGGTTTTGGAATTGAAAAAGTGGTCCTGACAGTGAAAAGTATTTTTCTTTCTTTTCTTCTTTTATTTTTTCTTTTTTTAATTCTCCAAAGAGAAATGAGAATTTTACAGAGATAGTGGTAAAGCATAAAATATTAAATTATATTTATTAATAAATTAATACAGGGTGAAGGAAATAAAAGTGGCCTGAGGAACACAGTTCCAGGTTACTAACAAACACAGCAAAGGAAAGATCATAGTTCGTTAATCTGCTTATAGCAAATACAGAATATGACCCACCATTCATCTCCTGACACTTTTGGACCCCGGTCAGAAGGGCAGATCGTAGCTGGGTTTCGAAAATAGAGGCAATCTTATCAAAAATGCTCTGCTATCGTTCTTGGAAACTACGAATGTTGCTGCGATTCTCCTTAGACTTGAAGAATTTTTACAAAAAGTAATCGTATACTGACAGATCAGGTGGCTAACTAGGGCAGACATTAGACCGACCTCTGCTAACCACTCTGTCAAGAGTGAAGATTGTGCGAATGTGGTCGGCGGTTTGTATGGGTAGTTGCTCCATCCTTTTCGAAATAACTTAATGTTTTTTCTTCCTCAGTTAATGATGCCACAAATGGATTAAAAGCTCTTGTGGAACAAGATGGGATCAGTAATGCAGCGTGTAACTACTGCACGCCAAGCTTCTGGTCCTGCAATTGTGTATGTTATGCGAATTCTCCGTGGCCCAGAACCTGTCGTTCTGTGAGTTGAT